GTTCGCAGATGATATAAGCATGCACGAAATATAATTGAGCAGTAAGTAAATAGAGAGAGAGATTTATAGTGGTTCAGAGGTGGTGTAATCCTCCTAGTCCACTCTTCTCCTTTCACTCCAAGGAGGAAATTCACTATTCTTCGATCACCCAGATACAATAGTGAATAAGTGTCCACCGACACTTCTCCGAGTGCTTCGCTCAAGGCTACACTCCACCAAGGTTTTTCGCAAGCTCCTCTTGTCACTCCGCCTTCCCGAGTACTTCGCACCAAGCTGTACTCCTACACCACGAGAACGCACAAAGCTACGCTCTCACCAGATTTTCACAAGCTCCTCTTGTTACTCTGCCCTTTACAACCGAGTGCTACGCACAAAGCTACACTCCAACTGGGTTTTTCACTCTCTCTAGTTACTCTACCCCTTTTCTACACTCAGTAGAAGATTTACAATGAAATACAATAATTTCTTCTCTCAGACTTGAATTCTATCGTATATAGCTCAATATATCACTTGATGTATGATTGGATAATTTTCTTAGTAATTCCCCGTAAATCAAGTTGTAGAATTCGTTTCTCAATCTCTGCTTGTCTTCAAGTCTGCTTGGACAATTTATAGCCAACGAAAGCTAATTGCCCGTTGATCAACTTTCGATCTTGATCGTCCATTTTGAATTTGTAGTTGATCAAATAATTTTGCCAACTTGGTCTGCAAAGTCATTTCGCCGTCTGTCAGAAGATTTGAATAATTTTGCCGTTGCTCTTCTTTAATCTGACAAAGCTTTTCCTTGGAATGGGTAGCCTCCAAATTTGAATTTCTCTGGCATGACTTTTGTTGAATTATTGATCTGATGTGCCAAGTTGATCAAATAATTTATCTGCTAATTCTTGCTTGAGTATTTAAAAGATTTCCTCCGTGTATCAGCTTCTTCGACTCCTTCGACTACCTTCCACTAGTACAGAAACAGTCATTCGCGTCCAAAGTTAAGGCTAATTCGCGTCCAAAGTAGCTGGGACGCAGATGTCGGGGACGCTGATTGTATACAATCAGCATCCAAAGTAACTTTGGACGCGCAAAATGATTATTCGCGTCAAAAGTTGAAGAACTTTGGACGCGAAAAATGATAATTCGCGTCCACAGTTCGTGAACTTTGGACGCGTATAGTATTCCAAAGTAGCTGGGACGCAGATGTCGGGGGACGCTGATTGTATACAATCAGCATCCAAAGTAACTTTGGACGCGCAAAATGATTATTCGCGTCAAAAGTTGAAGAACTTTGGACGCGAAAAATGATAATTCGCGTCCACAGTTCGTGAACTTTGGACGCGTATAGTGTTTATTTATTTAAAAAAAATACTATACGCGTCCAATGTTTCTGAACTTTAGACGCCTATAGTAAAAAAAAATTAAAATTTTTTTTTTTATATAACTACCAATATTTTCCTGTACATCCCAGCATAACTACCAAATAATATATTTCAACATTAATCAATTTAAGATGTATATACTACACACCAATTCTATCAACTAAAACACACCAATCTAAAATTTCAATTCTAATAACATTTTACTACAAATAAACTACAAATTCTAAATGTTAACAATTAAAATAAACTACTTAAGATGTAATCAATCTCCAATTTTTATTCATACTAAAGGACACCTGCTTGCATTTGTGTACATTATATATCTTCAATGTCAATTGTTTTTACATGCATGTATGTAGGATCTCAATAGCCAAAGCCTAAGAAATAACTAGAAGAACCTTATTCAAAGCAACATAAATAAAGTTCATGAATTGTTTCCATTTTTTATCGCATGACTCTTAGGTTGCCATCAAACTTGATCCCCAAGCATTATTTTTGCCACATAACCCACATTTGGTCTTTCCCACCAAACCTCTAGTAGAAAACCCGATTACATATTTACATCATGTTTCCAATTCAAAACCATATAGTTTCTCCCCAAAAGTGTCAAATTGTTGAAGCTGTTATGGTTCTGAACTAGAAATGTGATGAATTCTGACTGGTTTCTACCAAATGTGGCAAAAGTAATACTTGAAGATCAAATGTAGAAGTGACCTATTAGTCATGGGACAAAAGTGAAAATAATTCTATAGTTGATTTACATATCTCTTCCTTCTTCTTTGTAATGCTTAATTTCCTTACTTGTCATTTCTATTATTGATTTGAGTTCCTTCTTACTCTCCTCAACCTCTGACAAATCATTCTTTAACTTGATAAGTGTTGCCCCCAATTTGGTAATCCTTGAATCCATGTCCCGCTTCTGCTCATACTCCAATCTGGGAATTGATATATTATTGCTTCGTAATATGTATTGCATTACAGTAACAAATCAGTATGTCAAAGCTGCAAACTCTCCAAGTGTTCTTAAGATGATAGGTTCAAACTATCCCCCATCCCCATAGATTATGCATGAAGAGAGAAAGAGGACAAACTGCAATATAACTGGTTAAACACTTAATCATTAAGTAAAGTTATACCTCTTAAATAATTAACTTCTACTAATTCTTGTAAATAACTATCATCAGTGTACACATGAATGACTAAGAATAATCTAGAAAAGAACATTGCTACCCAATGATCTAAGACCCTATGAACTTTCGAATTTTAAGACAATCAGTTCCGAAAATGCTAATTACCATTAAAGCAAAAATTACTAGCAAGTAAAAATTCCTAGCTATAATTTTCTAAAATTCTGATGCTCCAATACGGTCTTTGATGAAAACTTGGAAAACAGAACTATAGATAAATACCGCAGAGCCAAATGGAAGGAAGAATCATGATGCATTCCATAGTAATATAGTCTTATGCCTTAAGATCATCAGACATTGCAGAGGGTATACAATGTGTAGTAAGGATGTCCAATGTCGCGGCCTTTGCTGTCATTGTCTGGAGGACCACTACCTGTGCAATAATATTACAAAATATTAGCGAGGGTTTTTCCACAGAAATTACAAACGAGGGGGTAGGGCCATTTGGACACGTATAGTAAAATTTTTTTAAAAAATATATATTATTTTATAAAACTACCAATATTTTCTTGTACATTCCAGTATAACTACCAATTAATATATTTCAACATTAATCAAATATTTTCCTGTACATTCCAGCATAACTACCAAATAATATATTTCAACAATAATCAATTTAAGATGTACACTACACACCAATTCTATCATTTTGCATACAGTTGAGTACAGAAAAAAAAAAAAAAAAAAAAAAAAAAAAAAAAAAAAAAAAAAAAAAAGACAGCAGAAAAAAAAAAAAAGTGTGTATGAACTACCGTTGTACAATCCTTGCATATGCCCGTCCCGCTGGATGAACAAGGATGTTGAAAGAAAATGGGTTTTACTTTATAGTGAATAAACAAAATTACTGAATAGTTTTGAATGAAATAACTAGAAAATAGTTGCACTCATGGAAGCATGAAATATAAAAAGGGAATGATGAGTGCAACAACTTTCTCATAAACATTCATAATTTTTAATCAAAAGTGCCCTTAGAACAAGAAAGTAACTGCACCTGATCATCAACCAAATGCTTCTGGAGACATCCATACCAGAAAATCATCAAGCCAAGAAGCAGCTGGTTTAGCTATGTAACTTGTTTCTGGTGTCAAAGATGCTCTTGAAATCTGCAGGAAACTGTAACTTTCAGATGCAGCACTGACTGATATGTTACAAGCTATCCAAAGTATTAGCATTATAATACATATTGACTACTTAAAAGACCCCTCAGACATGCAAGCTGAATGGTCCCCTCCATCCATGAAAAGTCGCACTGTTCGCCATAGTCCCTTATGAGTTGTGAAGCCTTCCCACATGGGAAAACAGTGACACCATGTAGATTATTGAATTTGTATTAGACTTGCATCTTCATATTTGTGAAAGAAACATGAACCTTACCTCATTCAAAAGAGAATCTGAGTTACAATGGTTGATAGAGCATAACCGGTTGGTTTGTCCAGATTCAGAACTGAGGAATGAAACAACATTCACACAATCAGAGCTTTAATACCCACTGAAACAAACTTTTTGAAACTTCTCCACTATGTATTAACTACAGTATTTATATAGTAATATTATACATGAGAAGGGAAAAGCAATTTCTGATTCATTATGTATTTGGCATGATATGTAGAAAACAACATTCCATGAATATTTCATTTATTTACTTGTTCACTCTTTTCAGGTCAAAACTGTTTCTCAAACTGCTTCTCAAACTGCAATAATGATAAGAAGCATGAAGATAAAAATGCAATGCATGGCTTCTCAGTAGAGAACAAGGAACAACTTCAAATTAACAAACTATGGATATCATTGATAATGAATATTTTAAAATCTGAATGCCTAAGGACAAATTCTGCTTCAAGTAAAAGAGAAAGGATAATGAAGGAATTCAGGAGGGAAGAATACCTATAATTGTAGTTTTTCACAACAAAGTACAGTGGTGGCCCAATTCTGAGATATTCAGCGAAAATCCAATTGAATGTTTAGAACGAAAATGCTTACCTTGAGATTGAGAGGCACTAAAAAAAGTTAAAGGACGAGGAGAATGGTGGCCACCGGCGAGCTTGCGGCAATGGGTGACGGGCGAATGAATGGACTTGAATGAATGTGTCTCATAACCTTGAATAAGCCGAGTAATACACATTGATTTGGGTCTATTTTGAGAGCCTATGAACTCCTGAGGATATCATTTAGTATAAAGGTATGAGAATCTCTATCACATTAAATAACACACATAAAATTAATTAAGAAGGGCATAAAACAGATTTTCTACCTCTGCAGCTTGAATAGCAGATTTCCTCTCATTTCCTTGATCCTTTCATTTACCACACCTGCACGGAAGAATATAGTAGAAGTGGAAGCAGAAAAGCATAAATCTAATTGTAAAGTTACTTAATGTATTGGGAAAATTTTAGCTGAAGCTCTGTATCAGTAAAATAAATAATAACAGTGGGATACTAGAGAGAGCATGTCAGTGCATGAAAGGCATTCATTTTCCCCCATTCAACAAACAGTACCAGAATGCAGAATTATTCGATTTTATTAATGTTTTTTTTACTAGTGTTAGCCACAAGTTAGAAATAGAAAGGATTATATGCCGCCCCGTGTAGGAGTTGCTTCCAAGTTGCCGCATTAAATGTTGAATGTAGAACCTTACATCAGTGCCACTTTGATCTTCTGAAACATTATCTAAAAGAAAGAATAGATAGAAGCTATTAAAGTTCAATATTAAAGCCATTAACCATTGCTTACTAATTCCACATAATTAAATTTCACAAACATCTAAATACTTCATAGATGACAAACTAAGAGTATAAATAGAACAAATAGCAAATTACAAGTTATGGAAATAAGGTAAGGAAAATGGATGAAAGACATCAAAAGGTAGTTGAAGAGCATTACAGCAGTATACTTCATGATTCATATACACTAAGAATTCACAAATAAAAATTATGGCATATCTAAATCAAAGTCATTCATTAATTACCTTCAGTTAGAGCTCAATTTTTCAAAATAAGTTCGATAATATTTGCTGTATTTCTATAGTATACAGGTACTCTACTATGCCTCATTGTCATTATAGAATTAAGCGTCTCCCTACGGCCTACACAAGAAAGTGGGTAATCGAAATGTAAATGTCAGTACTAAAATAGTCACAAAGATTAAAGCTTCGAGGGAACAGTTAAAGCATAAACCCACAAATCAAGAGTTCCATCCAGATCAACAGAGAATGCCTTCGATATCGGTGTCATGGCATCTTTAGCTGTTTTCTCCGTCAGCTCAAGAGCACCAGCAATAATGGTTGTTTCGTCATGAGTCAGATCGCCTCCTTTCCCAGCCTAACATGGAATAGAAAACGAAAGTTAGGGGTAATTTAAGCGGAAAAGGAGAGATTAAGGAAAGACATGTCTATGTGCAATACACACAATACTAAATCTATGTGCTTGCATATCCATTTTACCTTACTAATTGGATAAGCAACCGGGAAAAAAAGCCAAAGCAGCAGACGAACGAAAGGTGCCACTGTCGCTCCAACTGTCAATCCATAGCGAGCGCAAACTGCCTGGGGCAATATCTGCACTCACAAATACAGTTACGAATACTTACAGAACCATACGACACAGCAGTTAAATCTGGAATCGAACCACGCAATTAGGTTAGAAACAGCAGCACACCTCACCAAACATGAGAATGAGTGTAACCGACACTAGAACTGCCGCCCACGAAGGCACAAGCTTGTCCAAGAATATAGGCAGAGACTAGACGAGACGAGAAACCAAAAAAAGGAATCAACTAAGTTAGCAATGAGAACACACACAATTATATTACTCCAGATCAAGTAAACCATGTCCCACAAACCTCCATTGCTAAAGAGTTGCCAATCAAGAGTGTACAAAGCAAAAGATGTTGATTTTTCACAACTGGAAGAATTCTAGCTGCAAAAGAAAAACAAAAAAGAGTACTAAATTCCTGATTTAAGCACAAATCTAAACACAGAAGCCATTCTTGAGCTCTTGATTTAAGTTCAAAAATGTTCCTCCTTTCTAATTTAGTTCTCAAGAAAACTACATAGATTTCACCACTAAACCAATCTAAAGTACCCAAACACGAGACAAAGAAAGGGAACAAACTTTGAAGAATTGCTCAAAAATGAAACAATAATAGATAAATCAATAAAAAATTACAAAAAATAGATGAAATAATCAATAAAAGCATGTTTGATAGCTGTAGCGTCGCAGGGGAGCTGGAGGAGGGAACGACGAAGAAGATCGGAAGGGTAGGCGTTGGAGACGGCGTTGGCGGCTGCAGATCGACGGCACGCTATTCCGAGACGACAAAGCTGTGGTGGGGTGTCGAATGTGGCGGTGTGCGACGACAGAATAGATGGTGGTGTGCGGTGAGACGATCGAAGCCGTGGATTGGAGCAGAGGGATGAAGCTGCGATGGACGGAGACGGCGTGGAGCTGATATGATCTGTTGAGGATGGAGACGGCGTGGAGCTAGGATTGGTTGGATAAATTTAATAAGGCGCGTCCAAAGTTACCCACTTTGGACGCGCTTGATTATTATTCGCGTTCAAAGTACTGAGCTTTGGACGCGAATAATAGGAAGATTTTAATATTGGCGTCCAAAGTATAGAGCTTTGGACGCAAATACTGGTTTAAAATTAAAAAAAAAAAAATTATTTATATAGTGACATTTTAATTATAAAAAGAGAAAATTTTAATTTTGGTCATATGACTACAGGGGCTTTGTTAATTTTAGCACCTAACTTTCAAAAGTGTTAATTTAGTACCTTGACTATGCAATTTTTATCAATTTTGGTCACTCTGGTCAAATTGCCGATCAAATTTCGCCGGAAAATTTTAACAGTTAAAATAATGAGGGTATTTTCTCCTGTGAATTCATCTTTTCCGACGAATTTATCTTTTAACTGTTAAAATTTTCCGACGAAATTTTGCCGGCAATTTGACCAGAATGACCAAAATTGATAAAAATTGCATAGTCAAGGTACTAAATTGATACTTTTGAAAGTCAAGTGCTGAAATTAACAAAGCCCCTATAGTCAGATGACCAAAATTGAAATTTTCTCATTATAAAAATGCCACCGCATTACACTTTAGGCGTCCAAAGTTTTGGACCCAAATTAGTCAATTTTATTGATGTTTTTTGTACTAGTGTTCGTAAAAACAGAGCTTCAAAAGAAACATTCTCCCTAACAAATATAACATGATGATGTCATGACATGATAGTATATCATGTCCACCTTATATCATGAACTAGTATCATGATCTTGATATCATGCTTTCATAAAATTGCTTTGGGTGGGAATCGAACCATGTATCCTTTTGTCTCATCTCTTCACGTGGGTTTGTAAAACCATACGACGTTATGACGTAATCTTCCAATAGTAGTGACGTCATCATCCGATATTATCTTCTATCATGTTATAAAAACCATTTCTTCATTCATGATAGTTCTACCCAATACTTCATGATATCACCTCTTGATATCATACTTCGGGATAGCACTTCACCATAGCTTGTCTAAGCCTTTTTACACCAAAATGCTCTTAATGGGAATTGAACTATGAATCACTTGGTTTTAAATTTGCTTCAACAAGTCGTCTTCCATCTCATCCTTTGATGACTTAATGCTTCATAAATGTGTTAAGCTATCATCCTGCTTACATTTATTCTTCCTTCAAACCAGCTTTCACGTAGGCTTCATGGCAGGGGTGCACCATACTTTGTGAACCAGAACTGACTCAAATAAAATAAAATTGGAGTCTACAAAATACATTTGGCTCATCAAAACTCATACAATATATCCCTAACAATTTCCCCCTTTTTTATGATGCCGAAACTTATACCCAAGTCATTTGACTATGTAAATTTTGAAAAATAATCTTTTTGTCCTATTTTATTGCGACTAGCCATTTAACGGGTTTAACACATTTAAGACTTAGAGATTTTAATTTTGAACGGTCCTAAACGTATATTGAGACTAAAACGCAAGGTTGTGTATTGATTTTTATCTTTTAATTTTTCTTCCCCCTTTCAATTTTATTTTCTCAATTATACGCTTCACATGCAATTACTAAGTCCAATTAAAATCTTTAGACTTTAAAGCAATTAAACAAACTAGATAAATTAAAGAGATAAGCCGTAAGCTAGCAATTTTATATTTTGTACCAAAAAGATATAATTTGAACAAGCTAGCTAGGATTATGTACACCAAAAAAAATTGAGACTTCAATTTTTACCTCTTGGCGATTAAGGCATTCACATGTGCCATTAGCTTCTTGAAGTCTTGTTCACCTTCATTGGGTTGATATGGTGCGGTGACTTGCTCGGTCACATAATTTTCATATGGTTCTTGAATGTTGTCACCGCGCAATGCTCCGGCTTGGTACCAAGCAACGCATTCTTCAAAAGATAGCTCTCATCTACCATCTCGTTGCTTGAGTGCCCGAAGAAGGTCTCCAACTCACGTACAAGCTTCATCTTGTTCTCACCATAGATTGATCTTGAAGGTGATGACCTTGGGCATTCTTGTTGACTTGGAAAATCCGAACTTTGCACGGTCACAAGATAATCCATAATCCTTCCTCTTCCTCGGCTTTGCACCTTTGGTATAGGTGAGACTCCTCTTGGTGCTCCTGGAGGTCGAACAAGCTCAACTAGTGGCCGTTGTGAAGACGGTCCAATTAAGTGATTTACCAAATGGCTTGGAGATTCTCGTGCCCTTTCCCCCTTTTCGGCAGCATCAACATAACTTTGAAAACTTGCCGAAGCTTCTTTTTGGCTCTTTTGGATTCCAACTAGTAAGTCATTATTCACGCCGGTTTGGTGTAGTAGAGCTTTCAACTGATTTTCCACCAACCGTAGCCTTGATTCACAATCGGTTCCTTTCTTTCCCAATTCGAGGAACATCTTCAAGACTTCCCGGTTGTGCTCTTCTTGTTTGGTGGTCATCATGGCCATATCACCTTGCATTGATCCTTGTCCAAGTAACAAGGATTCGGCCCTTTCATATACTCCCTTATGAAAATCATCTAATTTGGTATCAACATTACCAAATCGATGGTGAACTTTCTCAAATTCTTGGGAAACTTATCCTCTCATCTCTTGGATTTCCCTACGTACATCTCCAACAATATTTTCTCTTAAAGCATCAATATCAATGGAATGAGAATGTACCTCCTTGTGTGGTTGTCTCGGCATTGTGGAGTCCATCGGCTCCGGTGCTTCCATATGTGGTTGTTCTCAAGAGATAAGGGCTCACCAAATGTAGGATCAATTGGTTCGGCAGTGTTGATCGCCTTGGCACAACTCAAAGGTAATGGTGACAATTCAATTTGCAACACATTTTCTTGTGCATCCATTCGGATTTCATGCTCATTTAAATCACCAATATTTTCTTCAATCACCAATGTTGTAGGATTAATTGTGACTTGAACATTCTCCAAATTTTCATTCACCGAATTTGTCACATCCGTAGCCGTGTGTAGTGAGATAGCATCAAAACTAAGATTATCTTCTCCAATGTTCGAAGGAAATGCATCCAAATCTTGTAGACTTCCACCTTCGATTTCCTTCAAATTTGATACTTCCCCCGGTGTAACGTGAATTTCTTCTCTCGAAAGAACCATGGCTCGGGCAATGTCATCACGAGCAAATCCATCAATTGTCTCAACGGCAACTTCGGGAACCTCTTGTGCTACTTTCTTACCCCGACTATTGATAGCTGTCTTGATAAAAGCTTCATTTATTATCGATAGCCTCGTCGCGGAAGCAAGATTTCGTGTGCCTAGCCATGTTAGAGCAAATTCCTCTAACTCAAGAGTGTTCGGTCCTGTGGTTGTAGCAACCGAATTATGATCACCCAATCTCCAATTTCTCCAAAATCTAACTCTTTCAAACTCCTTCAATAACTCACTATCCGCCCCATACGTAGGAACATCATCTACACTCCCCACTTTGCTTAGAACACTTGTTTCTTCATCATTAGGGTTTGGGGGGGTTGATTGTGGGTGCGGGCAAGGTAACAAAAGGATGGCTACACGCATCATCACTCGCTCTCCCGTGAGTGTTTGACTCCCCATGACTAGAATCTCGGATAGAAAGGGATTTCTTGGTTAAGGATAGGTTTGACGAGTTTGCCGGCTTTCGTTTTCGGGTATTTGCTTGTGAGGGATCAACCGGGTTTGGGGTTCTAAATAGGTAATTTTGGTTTTGTATGGGTCTTGACTTTGATAGGGTAACACCTTTGGCTTTCAACAACTCTCCAACAACAAAACCATACCCAATATCATTAGGAAACCATCCATTCACCAATGGTTTCGCAAGCCTAACTTGATCAATCATTCGGCCAAAAATAAACATACCCCAATCTACGGCAACATTATTCACAATAGCATGCATCAATCCCAAATTTTTCTTAGTGAAATAATTTCTACTAGCATATTTGCATTCAATAGTTTTATGCACAATATCTAGCAACATTCCAAATTCATGCTTCAACATCACTTTATATCCATTATTGCAAGCCCCGACCGGTGCGGTTTCGTGCCTTATTTCACTCCAAAAGGCATTCAAATCAAAACCATGATTTTCTACTCTCAAAACATTCTCCACCAAACCGAACTTAGTTCGAACATCATCTAACCCAATTGACAAAACAACTCCTCCAACAGTAGATTTTATAACACCATTTTCGACATATGCATGTTTATAAAAATCTACTACTTCATTCAAGTAAAAATCATCATACTTGTATGAGCAAAAATTCAATAACCCACTAGATTTAAGAGAGGTTAAGATTTTTACCCCCAAGTCTTTGGTTTGAACAAACTTGTTGAAATCTTCAATGTCCAAGATCATACCGCGAATCACCTGTGTGATTTTCCTCGATCCTTCGGCTTCAATTTGATTGAAAGCTCCTTCCATCTTGATAGAACACAAATTGAGACAATTTTGAGGTGGGTTTTTCGAGTAGGATTTCGGCAGTCCGAAAAAGAGGTTGAAGGGAATGGGTTTTTGGTTGTGAGGGGTTTTGAGGTTAATGGTGAGGGTGGGTAATGGGTATTTGTGTATTGAAGAGATTTTTGTGGGAGATTTGGGATGGGTTGGGTAGATTTAGGAAATTTTCAAGCTTCTCTTCTTCTTCTTGCATGCGCCGGTGGTGAGAATGAGGGAGAAGAAGTTGATCTTCTTTCTTCCTCTTCTCTCTCGTTGGAGGCAAAATAAATGCCTAGCAAAATTACCATTTTGCCCTTTAGTGGATAGAGAGAGGTTGTAGAACAATTGAGGGCAAGTTCAAACTTTCACAGATTTAAATTTGCCAACTCGATTTTAATACTCCATTTGTGGGTACATGGCGCCAAAAATTAAGCTTCAATTAGCTGCCACCTGTAGATGTTCATGGAGCAAAAATTTCTTCGACACATAATTGTT